TTTTCACTTGTAATTTTTTATTCCAATGTTTTTGTACTTACATTCAACATCATTGATTGTTGATTGTGTGGAGATGAAATGTGAATAATCCATAAATCCTCATTTTTTCTCTGTACTTTCATAATACCCTTTGTTATGATATGTTATCGAGAAGTGTCCTATTGAACTGGAACCACGGGCCTTAGCCTCAAAGTGTCCCTGGTTGATTTTGTAGCCATAATTAGATCTAATTATTCTTTGGTACCACTTGCCTAATACTGTCTTTTTTTTTTGTCTCCTAGGAATTTGCTTTTGATGCAAGATTAATTTGGTGAAACTTTAACAAAAACAAAAACGAAGTAGATAAAACATTGTTCTTTTGATGTGGAAAGAAGTAGGGGGAGTTGATTAGTTCTTTGAACAACCGGAATGTTAGTCTTGAAAGTAAAAGTAATGTTGATTTCTTTTCAAACAAATATTAGAATTTATATTTAGATTAAACAACTACTTCTACTTTTAGTGTTTGATTCCTGTTTAGCTGCATACAGGTGTTTGGAGGGCCGGATTAGATGTGATACCCACTTAATTGCACGTTAAGACAACGTGTTTATTGTATATTATGACTTAGCTTTATTCTCTCATCTTTTAATTGTGGGCCCTCTTTTCTTTTAACAACGTTCCCTTGGCCTAATACACCCAAAATGAAATTAAATACTCGTATTGTAATGGCATATACATTATATAATGAGGTGAGGTGAGCATGGTATAGAGCTAGGCTTGGGTCGCGCTAGCAAGCCAAGAGATATGGTACTAAGGAATAATTTTAGCCTTAATAGGTTGTAATTTGTTATTCGTTTAAAGAATTTCTTGTCAACGAATATGGTACTAAGGTAGGTTGTATATAAGAGATCGTGTAGGATATGTCGTGCTTTGCCAATGAGTCCCTTACAATTTTGTTTAACATTCTCTTGTTTAGAAATAACGAGGTTTGTGTCAATTTACGTAAGTGATGTCTATGCATGACCCATCGATTTGTCTCTCATTTGATTGGTAGAGGAATAGTAGGCTAAATGTAGATATATATATATATATATATATATATATATATATATATATATATATATATAAGGTTAAGTCCCGTGTCATGCACGGTCATAATTACATTTAATTTTACAACAAATAAATTATAAATAATGGTGTTAATTCAACAATAACTCATCCAAAAAAAATTATTTGTTACTAAATAACTTGAATTTAAGTTTATACCAATACCAAATATATAAAGGTTATTGAATTGGATTGTATATAAATATATATATATATATATAGATAGATAGATAGATAGATAGATAGATAGATAGTAATAGAAATTTAGAAGCTATAAGGTAGTTTTATATAAGAAAATTAAAATATTAGCTTAGGTTAGTACCCATATACGAACTCGTATACATTTATCCTTAAATTGTTGACACACTTTGACCGGTATAATATAAAAATTTAATTGATTTTATTTTACTTTAGGATAATTAGTATTCTATAATCAACTTTTAAAAATATATTTTTAGTGAGTAGTAGAGGTTTTTATTTTTTAAATAATCACATACATACTTAGAGTAATTAGATTTAATTTTCCAATATATTATGTATACTATGATAAAATGATTTTGTTCTTATAAACGTTATGTAATTTTAAGATTTATACAAAGTATGCTACCAAAATGAATTTTCTTTTTTGATTAAAATAAATAATACTGTCAAATGATAAAAGTTGGAGAAAAAAATTGATATTGATAATATTATAATAATCTTGGAATATAATATATTACAATACCTTATTTTTAATCTATGTTAGTATTTTTGTAACTAAAAGTTTCCTAGTATAATTGGATTAAAAATATACAAAAAAAATTGAGTATAATTGGATTAAATATGTTGTCAAAATGGAAATAAATATTATTATAGGTTATAAAATGAATGTTATAAAAAAATAGCAAATAAAAAAATTAAAAAAAAAAAAAGAAAAGAAAACAAAGACAGGAAAATTTTTAACCAGAAAATGACAAGTGTCATTCTAGGTTTCACCTTTAATATATAAATTATTGATTATTGATGTCAAATGATTTGTAGCTCAAATGCGAATAAAAACTTATCATCCAAAATTTAGTCCCATTTTTTTAATTCCTTAATTTCATTGGTTTTGTCCTCTGCTATTGAATTTCATACTTAAAATGTTAATAAATAAGAATTGTTGAATTAGTGCCGGAGAACTTTCATATTCATATTAGAATCATTCCTAATAAATTATGTTTGTGGAATCAGTACATAGTCAAATCCTTTGGTGATTTTGTCAAGAGTTTGGTAAAATGTTTGCGATCTTAGACATTAGCCCATTATCCACATCCAAACATCCAATGGCGCCTAAAAAACTTGAACGTTACTTCTTCCGTTTTAGGTTGAATACAAAAAATCAACTTTTATACTATTTGCATTTTTTTTATCTTGATTTTTACTAAAATCTATTAACTATTACTAAAACAATACATTGCTGACATAATCTCTCCTCAAAACTATATATATACGTGTCGCTTTCTTATGATATTTTTTCCCGCCTAAAACCATTGATGATGTCATTTTTTTGTAATAGTTTTTTTTTTTTTTTTTTTTCTTTTGTGTGATTCTTCGTAAACAAGCTAATTAAATTCTTTCAACAATTTTAATCTAGAAAACCGAAGTATAGTAAATTGAATAGCAACTGTTTCTTTTGATTAAAAGTTCTATCATTCCCTCTCCTCAATTCCTTAACATTAATATTCAAACGTCTAGAAATTTCCTGAAATATTCAAATTGTATTTCTTTTAAGAAATCTCCTTCCAATGAATTTATGACAAAATTGAAAAGATTCATTGTATATACGAGTTCTATACTAAATATATATTATTTTTTTTTTTATTAAAGTTGTGCATCGCACGGGGATAATCTAGTTTAAAAACAAATTATATGTTTCTTTTCGTCAACATGTCAACTATTTATATAAGTTTTAGTATTTAAATTAAAGTTGTTCATCGAAAAAAAATGTCATCCAAATTTTAGTATTTAATTTGAAGTAGAGGTAGCATCTACCTAATTATAGAAGTATAATACAACAATAGAACAAAGCCTTAATCTCAAATAGATATGGGTCAGCTAACATAAACCGTCATTCATAACCTTTAGAGCAAGCAGGATTCATTAGGAAAGTAAACAACAAAGAGTGCAGAAGTATAACCGGAAGAAAAAAGAAAAAAAAAAAAAAAAGTTAGACAAGAGAAAACATAAAAAGTAAAATAAGATAGATTGTTACCTTTTGGGGTAAAACGAATATGGTTTAATCATTGTGACATTGTTCCTTGGAGATTCCAAAAAAAAAATATATTTTAAAACTAGTAAAATGATTTTTTAATAAGTTAAACCAACAAATAAATAAATAAAAAATTGGCCAATAATGAAAATTAAGTGTAATGGTAGTAACCATAAGAACATCCATAGAGAAACCCTGCTGCATTTTTCACTTCAACTATCTCACTTTGATTCTATGATCCACATCTCCGTCAAATTACTCATCTTTTTGGTTAATTGATCTTAGATTACTCATCTTTTTGGTTAATTGATCTTAGATTATGGGGGATTATCTATTAATACAATATAGCTTCAATCATCATGCACCATGTTATATCGTCTTGAATTAAACAATATTGCAATAAATAAAATAAAGGAAGAAGTAGATTGTAAAAAGTAATTATCAACCCGTTTTGTGTGTGGCCAGCTAACCGTGTGACTACTTATAAAAGAACAAAGTAACTTCTATAACACTGACCAAGTAACCCTTGTAATACTGACCGAGTAACCCCAATAACACTGACGAAGTAACCCCTTTAATACTGACCAAGTAACTCCTATTACACTAACGAAGTAACCCCTATAATGGCTAGCCACACGATGTGACCAACCACATATGAGACTTTGTGTTTGAACATAATGTGTATAATTTCACTTTTTATTTTTAGAGAATAAAAAAATATTGGGTTTTTCTATATAATAACCCTTTAAATTTCACTTTTCTACGTTGTGCCCCTCCATTTGAAACTTTCCACACTATAACCTCAAAATACATTTAATTTCTATACAATAACCTTGTTGTTAACAAATTCTGTTAGTGGGGCCCACTCTCCACTTATTAATATTTTTTTTATCGATTTGCGTGTTTGAATTTGTTTCGTTAAACGTTTTAGGGGCTATTTTGGTTCTTAAGGAACCAAATTGAGCTCATATTTGGGAAAAAAAAACTACAAGCGCCTCTTTTTGCGTATTAAGAATTGTCTCGATTTGCGTGTTTACTTTTTTAATACACAAAATGAGGTATTTACATTTTTTTTTGCCAAATCTGAGCTCAATTTGGGTCCTTAGGGGCCAAAATAGCCCCCAAAACCTTTAACGGGACAATTTCCGACACGCAAATTGATAAAAAATATTAATAAGTGATGAGTGGGCTCCACTAACTGAATTTGTTAACGGCGGGATAACGACAAGGTTAATGTATAGAAACAAAATTTATTTTGAGGGTTATAGTGTGAAAAGTTCTAAATGAAGGGGCACAAGATAGAAAAGTGAAATTTAAAGAGTTACTATATAGAAAACCCAAAAATATTTTCAACTCCAAAAAAATAACCACATTCCATTGAAAAAATTTGCATACATTCTTCTCAATTTAATTTTAAGAAAATTTTCATTAAATCTCATTCAAAGTCTGAAAATACAAGCACATGGTGCTTTCAGAAACACAATACAAAATTTGACCCAAGTGTATTCAACCTATACAAATGATGTAAACGAGATCCTTCCTAGAATCCTAGGTAACAAGAAATGAAGAAAGCACTACTAGTATCATAAGTCCAATGATATTAAGAAGTGTAAAGATTTTTTTGAAGGAAGAACAGTAAAGATTAGTCAACATATAATAAATAAATTATCAGCTTCAGGGAGAATAATTGTCAAAGATTGCATTTATTGACGCACATGAAAATCAAATTTAATACAAATTCAAAAATATATATATAACAGCCTAACACTTAAAACCAATAATAATAGCTTAGCATACATTAGCTACGTATAAGCTGGCAAATTGATTGAACAGGCATGAAAATGGATCATAGTTCCTGCATCCTGATACGTCACGCTTACGTAATGCCAATTGAACTGTTTGTTTTGAACCACATATACCAATTAGATAAAACATACGATGACTAGCCTTATTTTTTTTTGGCTTTGGATCATTTGGCGATTTTTGAATGCTTGATAAGCCAATCGATGACGCTGTCTATGTTTACAGAGTCCTTGCATGAGATCATGTAACAGCAAACTTCTCTATCAGTGATTGATTGTAAGCCTCTGCAATACAGAAAGTAAGCACAGAAAAAAAAACCAAACCATAAGAAAATCATACAAGCTAGAAACACATTCTAAGTAGTATAGCAGGAGTGCAGATTTACTGATCTTACAGCTGATCCATTAACGCTTGCTGTGTGAGAGCTTCCGACTTGTCAATTTTGTTGCCAAGAATGAGCAAGGGAATCCCAGTTAACGATGGCTTTTCCAGAAGTTCATGTAGCTCACTTTGGGATATCGGGATACTGTCTCTATCAGCAGCATCTACTACGTACCTACATGTGATGCAAAGAAGAATGAGTACTCTTCTGCTAATTGGCGCCAAAAAACAGATCAAAAAGACAGTTGCATAAATGTTGGTGATAAGCATCTGGGAGGACTCAAATGTTCCAGAAGCACAACCAAAGAAGAAAAGAATCTATTCAGCAACGAGTCTCATGAATCAAAATAAACTTATCTTGCTAGTCATTACTAAATTACCATAACTAAAAAATATAATGATAATTTTTGAAAAAAAAAATGATTTCACACATATTTTAAGCTGAAGTATTTTTTTCATTAAACATAAAAATAAGGCAATTCAATGAAGACATGAATCGGCATGTAACATAGTTTAGTAATCTGTATCGTTTAAAAGCTTGGAAGGCAATCAGAATCTAGTGGATTAAAATAAGCATACACATAGGCTAGTTTGGGGTACACTGAGGAAAGGACAACGTCAAAAGAAAGAACCTAGAGACTGGTAGACTAAAAGGCCATTTTGTACTTGAAAAGATGTTCCCTTGGCAACGATTTGTTTCTATTTATTCAAGTAAACATATCAAACTTATAATCTTACCCGAGGCAGAATCGTATTCCCCACATTGATTATCACACTAACACAAACAAAAGAGTTAAAAGAGAAATGTAACAAGTGAATTGATTGAGAAGAATTACACAATTGCAGTGACACCACGACAATAACGCTCCCACATTGAGCGAAACCTCCTCTGGCCTCCAAGGTCCCAAAGCTTTATAGTCACGTTGCCCTTAGTAACTTTCCGCATATTAAATCCGACCTGGTTTTAAAGTGTAAGCTGTTACTTGCAAGACGATACACACTTTAAAAATTCTCTTTGTATAGATACCTACAGTTGGAATCATGTCTTCACTGTATCCCCCTGTCTGTAAACAGATTAAAAACAATGGTCAAAAGAATCCAAAAAATTAAATAAAACAAGTAGGCAAAAAGTTCTGCCAATACTCACAGCAATTGCGTTAACCAGGGACGTTTTTCCTGCATTTTGAAGGCCAACAAGGGATAGCTCCATTTCCTGCTTAAAAAATAAGCTGACAGACACACAAAAACACGGAATTATGAGCTTCAAGTAAGCAGTCATTATCTAACCCCTGCAATTGCAATTTTTATTACATGTACGAGTAGGATACAGAAAAACCTCAGGAAATTAGCAGAAAAAACACGACAAAATCACCATAGAAAGCTAAGTTTAATGCCATAGCTACGCAAACTGACAATAAATGGGATTGGCCAATATGATCTTCCATAGTTGCTTATAATCATTTAACCCCCTACAATTGACATTTGGGTTTTAGAAAAGGAGCTTGACAGCTTTATTCTAGTGCCCATATAATTTTCATGTAATCTTACCTTATTACTCAATCCAAATTAGCCAAATCAGACCCAAACTATAATCGATACAAAGAACCCAATTATGTCAAGAACCAAATCTAACTAATCTAAAGATTAATAGTCCATCTGTCCAAGAATACTTCACAGTTGACTATCAATAATTATTTTTAGAATAGTCATAGAATCAAATAAACTGATGGACAGAGATATAAAAAAATAAATAAGGAAAAAGCACCAGTGGCTTAAAAAAGAAAGATTAATAAACAATTCACAAAGAGTGAGAGTTGGAAAAATAAAAGAAAAAAAGAAAATTAAGCAGCTTCAGTTGCTGCTAAAAAATTTTACCAACTATTTTTCAAAATAGTGAATGATCATTTGCTATCTATCTCAATGTCTTGAGATATGCTAAGACAACACATAAGCCATTTACTTACCTTACCTCATTACCCGATCCAAATTAGCCAAATCAGACACAAATGTTATTGATACAAAATAACCAAATTACATCAAGAACAAATTTAACTAATCTGAGGAGTGAGGATTAACAATCCATCTGTTCTAGAATATACTTCATTGCTTTAGAGTAGTTATTGAATGTTAATAAAATGATTGAAAGTGGATGGAGACATAAAAATTTAGTAAAAGCTAAAGAGTGGGAAGTGGTTGGTGTAATGGCAGGTGAAAATGGGAAAAAAGAAATAAACAAGATTAACCACTGACTTGTTCTTTAAATGGAAAGAAAGGGAAATTTAAACATAGTCAAAGTTATACAAAATAACCAAAATACATCAAGAACAAATTTAACTAATCTGAGGAGTGAGGATTAACAATCCATCTGTTCTAGAATATACTTCATTGCTTTAGAGTAGTTATTGAATGTTAATAAAATGATTGAAAGTGGATGGAGACATAAAAATTTAGTAAAAGCTAAAGAGTGGGAAGTGGTTGGTGTGATGGCAGGTGAAAATGGGAAAAAAGAAATAAACAAGATTAACCACTGACTTGTTCTTTAAATGGAAAGAAAGGGAAATTTAAACATAGTCAAAGTTAATTGTCAAAGTTAATTGTGAGATGGAGAAAGAGCAAATATAACAATTAATCAATTGTTTTCTATTGAGTTCATTGACATCTGATAGATATATCCTGAATTAAACTAATACAATACTATATGGCTCATCACCCAACCAAATATAGCAAACTCAATCCAAACAGCCCATTAACTAGGTTTATCACATGCACCTACTAGTAAAAGATATCCAGTAATCAATTTTGCAATCCATAATAGAAAAATAATCCAAAGAACTTGGCTCATTCATAGAATCTGCGATAGTTTATTCTTAGAAAGAAAAAAAAAACATTAATCTCTATAAAATAAGAAAAGAAATGGAGTCTTTGTCAGACATATAAACAAAATGTCAACAAGCTTTACAAATTTCCAGCTTTTAGTATCTATTGTGTTCAGGGTAGAATTTAAGCATCCCTGTTACTGAAAGACAAAAGTCTTATGCTAAGCTTGCAATTGAATTTTGCACTCCTTCACTCCGATCCCCCCACCCCACCCCGCCAATCCGCCACCCTCCTTTTAATCATCCCTACACAGCACAGGCACTTACAAAAGGTACAATTAACATTACATGCTCTTACTTCTCAATATGTTAAATTAGAGAGAGAAAAAAAAAATCAAAAACAAAAACAAAAACAAAATTCGATTTCCAAAAAATCAAAAGAGATGGGTTCATGTTTTAGTAAGATTCTATATTTAAGATCTAAAACTGGTAGAAAATATAAATTCACATAGGCATTGGAATTTCAGCCAACTTCAATTAATTCAGCTAATTGCTAAACATCACAGGCAAGTTCACATGAATTGATTGATTAGTTTAAGATGGAGATATTGATCTTCCTTTAAGACAACTACACAGACAAGTCACTTGCAACAGTGGCATATCCCTTAATGCTTGTATTTTTAACAAGCTAGAAGAAGACATTTCTTTTTCCCTAGGGGAGGAAGAAAAACTTACGGTTAATTTTGATTCAATGTGTATCACCAATTCAGAACAAAACAAACAAAACCTTTTTGTGAAAGGAAAGGAGGAATTAACTATTAACCCTAATGGACATAAAACCACAATGGACCCTCAATCAAAAGTCTTTCCTCAAAATCAATACCCTGTTGTATTATTTTTTTAACACATTGCACCATTGACCATCATTGGTGAAATTTACGTAAGGAAACACAAAACCATGTGAGATCCTATTAGATTCATTTCACTATAATTTTTATCTTTTTGCTTTTGGTTTTTCAGGTTCAAAAACTTTTTATAATTTTTACAAACTGATAATTACAGATTTTATTAATGATCTAATTTTGTGTCAACAAGCATGAAAGTCAAAATGTTAGTATCTAAAAAAGTAAAAAAAAAAAAAAAAAAAAAAAAAAAAAAAAAAAAAAATGGAGGCAATACCTTTTCTAGTTCATAGGTCACTCTTGAGGAAATACAAAATCAAAATAAAATATTAAGAAGATTACATATCAAAGTCTCTAACAATAAGGTCAATTATCTCAATTAGAGCATTATCTCAATTATAGCATTTTATTGTCCATTTTCTCAACTAGAGCATCTTCTTTAATTTCCTAGTCATTAAAATTCATCAATCTCATTAAAAATATTGCTTCATGTATACCATTGATGTGCTTGACCTGTTCTCCCAAGAATATGCTAAATCAATGTGACCAAGAAATTACCAAGACAGCTTGTAAACCGGACCAAAAACAGCAACATAAAAAGGACAAGTACGACAACTGAAAACAAACACAATGCATATAAAATGGTATCATTAGTGATAATGTCGATTTGAGCATCTTGTTTCCTAGGCAATGAAGGCTCATCATTCACGTTGAAACCATGTGTTCAATTGATGTGTTTGACATGTTCTCCCAACACTTCACCATGGACTTTAAGTTTCTGTATACTCTAAATCAATAATGATCTAACAATTACATCATAAGATCCATACTCATTACATAATACATAGACATAGTACTATAGTAGCATGGTGGATTCTTGGATATAAGGGCGTCAAGAAAAGTTGTACAAGTTCATTTTCGTGTCTCTAGAGGAATCAACATGAGGAAACCGATTTGAGGCAAGAAATTATTGAATTCAAGGTTAGTCATTAGTGTGACCTCAACAAAGAGGATAGGCTTATAGTATAGCTTCATAAATCGTAATGTCGCACATTCGCCTTCCATTGCAATTTCGTTATCAGACAATCATAACATGCTAACCGGAAAATCAAGATGAGCATGAAGTTATCAAGTTTAACATGTCCACCGTCACCGACTACATTTTCAAAAAAAAAATTGATGGAATAATTTTAAACCATTTTAGCCATATTATTTTTAGCTAACAGAAATGAGCCCTTCACCATTATTTGGACTTCCAAAAAACTAATTAACCTATGAATAAAACCATATCCCTAAAATCTATAATCTCAAACAGCAGCAAAAGTAATAAGAATAATTGATGAATATGGAGTAATTAGAAATTTAGCATAAAACTTCAATTTTTGCTCAACTAAACTAAACATAACTCCAATACCCAGATGCATAAAAACACAAATCAAAATCAAAATTCATGAAATTCATAAACATAAAACAATAGCTTAAAAAAAAATTAAAAAGTTAAATTATTGGAAAAATCAAAACTTGAGGAAGAAATTACCTTCGGAGCCAGTTGAGTAGAGAATCCCAAAGACCCATAATTCAAAATCTAGGGTTTCGTGGTAGCAAATGCAAATGCAAATGCAATCCTAAAAAGAAGAGCAAAGTAATACCCAGAAATAAGAAAAGATTGAGAAATTCAAAGAAAAACAAAGAAGAAAACGTTGTTGGGAAGCAATGGAAACTCGCACATTTGGCGCTTTCCTTTTTCTGAAAAATAATGTTGTTACCAAGTTGCCATTATCGGATGTACAAATATGTTTTTTTTTTTTTTTTTTTTTTTTGGTGCAAATTTACAAATATGTGTTAACACCTCTTTTACACACATACACGTAACACATTACATGAACATGTGGATCAGCCATATAATCAATCCATTATGTTTACATCCTTTACTGATAATCTCTTAGGGTGTGTTTTATTCATCTGATTTTCATTGATCTGAATTTATTAAAATTTATTTTAGTTGTAATTTGTACTTGGATAACCCTTATTAAAATTTATTAAACCTAAATTGAACTTAACTGAACTTTTTACACTTGAAATAAGTGAAGATAAGATGGACAGAACAGACCCTTAATGTCAATCTAATTAGGCAAAATTTATTTTCTTTTAGGGAGTCTAATTAGATAATTTGTATCACCCTTAATTTGTTTGTTTTTAAGTGGTGACACATAATTGACTTTAAGTACATTAAAACTTGATTTTGCAATAATTTTTGTGTAGGCTTCCTTTCCTAAAAAAAAAGAAGCGGCGTAATCAGAAATTCTAAATTAATAACTACTTGTGTTCACTAAGACACTATCAAAAAATAAGTATCGTATCTGTGTAGAATTTAGAGTACTAACCAAATAATTTGTAAAACCAACTTGAGTAGTATCTATATACCAACGTGAGCAAATATTTTAGGAAAATTTGCCAAGAATGATACCAACTTTCACCAGTCTTCCAATAATAGAACCACCTTTGGATTATCTCAAAATAACATGACGTTTGACACACATTCTCTATAAATAGAACAAAAAACTGGTAATCGGTTACATTAGTTACTCTGTACACGTGTCACATTGTGATTCGGTAAGATGTTTATTTTAATTTTTTTTATTATTCTTTTAATTAAAATAAATTTTATTATTTTCTCAAAACAAAAAAAAAAAAGAATTTTATTTTTTTTTAAAAAAAAACCCTCCCCTTTCCCTACTTGCTGACTAGCCCCATCCATCTCCCTTTCCCCAAATTCCCCCATGTCAGCCACCATCCGACAACGCCACCAGCAACCTCCCTATAACACCCCGACCCCAAACAAATTAAGGTGGGGCCTATTGTCACGAAATGCGCATCAAGGGCCAACAATTGTCCTCACAAACCAACACAAGTCCTTCCGACGCATTTTGTCCTCACTCATGCGCACCCCGGGAAAACTTCCTAGGAGGTCATCTGTAATACTCCGTATTTTATAATATTTTTATATATAAAAATTATTTATTTTATTTATTTTTATAAATCAAAATGATTCATTGCATTTTAAAAGAAATTAATTATTTAAATATTATGTAAGTGTGTATAAAGTAATACGAGTCATTAATTAAGGCAATAAAAATATTTTGAATTAGGTCATCTTTATTTAAATAGTTGGATCAACTTGTTGGGAAATTAAGGGCACTTAAGAGCCCAAGAAGTTGGCCCCAAAGGAAGAAGTTAAGGAGTAGGATTTAGTAATGACACTTTTGTAATTATGAGTTTTTGTTTTAAAAGGAGAGTATAAGTACTTCAAAACCTCAAGATTTTTCACTCTAAAATCATAATTGTCATATTTCACAAAAATCCAAAAATTTTCTCTTTATTTTCTCCCTCCTTTTTCTCTCTTTTTCCCACGCCTCTCTCTCTTCTGTTTCTCTCCCACCGGCGCCTCCACCGACCACCGATCACCGGCGGCTAGCAGCAACAGCCGACGCCTCCAGCCGGCCACCGGTTCTCTCTCCTCCTTCCCCCTCTTTTGCGGTTTGGTACGAAAAGAAGAAAAAAAAAAGACTGTTTTCCCTTCCTAATTTATTCTAGTTGTTTTTATTAATTTAAAGCATGATTTTGATTATGTTTTGGTATTGATTTTGGATATTTGATGTTGTTAAAATATTCATATAATTTTCATATTTTTATTCAATTAAAAACCCTAAATTACAAACCCTAGAAATTGGGAATTTATGGTTTATGGTTAGGGTTTGACCCTTAGGTTGTTGTTGTTGTTATTGTTTAATAATGGTTTAAACATGTTTTTAATGAGTTTAAAGCCCTCAAGTTAATGCTAGAATTTATTTATGCACACAACTTTTTAATTATTGAGTTAGGATTTGATTACCCATAAAAGGGAAAATGGTTTTAATGATTTAAATATAATTTCCTAGTCTATTAGTGATGTTTCATATTAAATAAGTATGTTGGAATTTTATTTAAGTCATAAAAATTAAGTCTTATTGAAAGGATTTGAAGTACCCACTTAAAGAAAAGGTTTTATGGCTTTTATGTCATTAAATTGGGTTGATTAGTAGGGTTTAAAGTGTATAATAGTTGCTGGAAATTTGTGAGAATAGTGGATTAATTATAGTTATGTATTCTTATTTGTAGGAAGCTTCGAGTTAGGTGATTTCTAGCGAGTGTGGCCGAGTTTAGGCATTTTTCAAGGTACGTATGTGCACAAGAATATTTGTGTATGCGCAGTATCAAGATATGATTGTGAAGTATGATTTAAGCGATGAATTAGTAGCATGTTTGGTTGATTATGTGCTTGGAATTTATGTTGGTTGAGCATGAATTGTTATGCAAGCATGTGAATATGTTATTTGAGGCATGTTACAAGTTGAATATGTATGAATCATGGAAGTATGTTTTATTTTCAAGTATCAAGAAGGCATGTATTTAATAAGCAAGGCTAATGTATGTTTAAAGGAGCTAAATTTAGAATTATTAAGCATGATTCATGAATTTATTTCTCACCCACTTATTATTGGTGTTGAGTCATGATATGTCGTGTTTTGTGTGTATTATTTGGCTTATTTTTAGTTAGTTTTGTTAGTTTAGTTGAGTATTTGAGTCCGTTTTGGCGTATTTTGCTTTAGTTTGGATAATTCGATGCTTTTATGGGTAGTTGTGTTGTTTTTGATGAATTTCAGGAATAATAGAACTAATTTGGATGAGTTATGGATCTATGAAGTAAGCCAAGACCCATGAAGCTTGATGATTGAAGAAAAGGCAAAAAAGGGAATTTTAGAGCTAGGCACGGCCGTGCCTACTCTGAGGCACGTCCGTGCCTCCAAGCCAGATGCAGCACCCTTTGTTTCGACCCTAGGCACGTCTATGCCTAGCAGGAGGGCACGTCCGTGCCCATCAGAGCAGCCAGGCACGTCCGTGCCCAGCATCAGGCACGTCCATGCCTGGAAGACAGAAACTGCAACAATTTTGCTACGTATAGAGGCACGTCCGTGCCTATGGAGAGGCACGTCCGTGCCTCCTAGGAATCTTGTGCGCCAAGCTTAGCCGATTTTTCTTATCTTTTTAGGCTTGTATATATTCTTTAGCATTGTTTTTCTTTGGATTATCATTCATTCATTAAGCCTTGTTTTTTTTTATTATTATTCTCTCCTTAAGAACTAGTTCTCCACCATTTTTCTAAGTTTTTGTAATTCAAGATTCAAGATTCAAGCTTTCTACTTTCAATTTTATTCAAGATTTGGTATTTATTTTTCATCCTTTGTTATTTAATTATGTTTTCATTATTTATTATTGTTTTTGTAGCTCATCGAGCACATCAACCTGACAAACAGTGTCTCCCATAGAAGGAGCAACTTCCCTTGAATCAGAATGATGATGCTCTCGAACAAGTGCTATTAGGGAAGGAAGATGATAATGGAGATTGGTAGTCTAAGGAGTATATCAGGTTACTTGATGAAGCAAAGGCTGATCCAAATCAGAACCTGATCAGAGAGACATTGGAAGTAATGAGTATTGGGGAGAGTTCTAAGCCTCCCGAGGTAGAGTTGAAACCCCTCCCCTCTAACTTAAAATATGCATATCTTGGCCCAAATAATTCATATCCCGTTATTGTCAATGCTGAACTCAAAGACACAGAATTGGAGCAGTTGCTCAACATTTTGAAAACATATAAAAGTGTCATTGGGCACACCATTGATGATATCAAGGGCATTAATCCTTCTTTTTGTATGCATAAGATCATTCTTGAAAACGATCATGCCTCTTCTGTAGAACCTCATAGAAGACTTAATCCTAATATGATGGAGGTAGTTAAAAAGAGGTTCTGAAATTGCTTGCTGCAGGTATAATCTACCCTATCTCTGATAGTAAGTGGGTTAGCCCTGTACAAGTAGTACCAAAAAAGGGAGGTATGACCGTTGTCAAAAATGACAAGGGTGAGCCAGTCGCCACTAGAACTGTCACAGGTTGGCGAATGTGTATAGATTATAGAAAGTTGAATAAGGCCACCCTGAGGATCACTTCCCCTTACCTTTTATTGATCAGATGCTTGAAAGGTTGGCAAAGCATTCCTTTTTCTGTTACTTGGATGGATATTCAGGTTTCTTTCAAATTCCCATCCGTCCCTGTGACCAGGAAAAGACTACTTTCACATGTCCATATGGCACCTTTGCATGTCGCAGGATGCCATTTGGACTATGTAATGCTCCTGCCACCTTTCAGCATTGTATGATGGCAATTTTCTCAGGACTCATAGAAAACTCTATGGAAGTATTTATGGATGATTTCTCTGTCTATGGAACATCATTCGATGTATGTCTTGAAAATTTGAAAAAGGTGCTCCAAAGATGTAAAGAAGTTAATCTAATCTTAAACTGGGAGAAATGTCATTATTTGGTACAACAGGGAATTGTCTTAGGTCACGTTGTGTCTAATAAGGGTATTGAGGTTGAAAGAGCTAAAATAGAGGTCATAGAGCGCTTACCACCTCCTAACTCTGTAAAAGGAGTTCGAAGTTTCCTTGGTCACGCAGGTTTTTATCGGCGTTTTATTAAGGATTTTTCGAAAATTGCTAGACCTTTAACTGAGCTATTGGCCAAGGATGTCCCTTTTGTCTTTTTTGATGCTTGTCTTGAAGCTTTTAATAGGTTGAAGGAAGCTTTAATCCCTGCTCCATTCATGCAACCCCCAGATTGGAGTCTCCCGTTTGAAATCATGTGCGATGCTAGTGATTATGCGGTAGGAGCCGTGTTGGGCAAAAGGAAGG